ACGAGGCGTTCGATTGAACGGTACGCGTATAAGACAGTTCCAGCGGGCGGCCGTAACAACTGGGTCAGAGCACACTGTCTGGCTGTACAGCTAACTCCCCCCGATGGTTGTACAACTGAGGCTGTCTCTTCTTTATATCAGGCGGCCATCCTTTCGATAGGGCCGTAATAATCACTGAGTAGTATTGTTTTGTATATCTTCTCAACGCTTCCCTGGAAACAGGTGATGGTTGGGCAACAATGCGACATTTCTCTGCGGCGCCAAAGCGTGAGTACCTGGATAGGAATTCTGCCTAGGGAATCGTCTTGCCTGGTCGATGTATGATATCACAATCGTATGCTGCCAGTGCAATACTTCATCGTTGAATCATGGCGGCTGTGGCTTTAGTTATAGACTTGTTGGGGTTGAGTAACAATTGTAGCGTCTGACGATCCGTCACAATAGTAAAGTGCAGTTCAAACAAATACTTGTGCAATCGCCGGACAGACCAAAACACCGCCAGGGCTTCTTTCTGGGTCTGCGAATACTCTTTCTCCGCATAGTTGAGCAATCGGGAAATACAAATAACAGGAAGCCTTTCTTGCTCCAACACGGCACTAATGCCCACCTCGGACGCATCTGTCACNAGTGGACGTTCAGTGATGTTGCGTATTAATCCTTGAAGGGTTCTTTAGCAGTCAACGGTCCATTTCCAGTCTACTGCGGATTTCGCGACAAACAACGGTTGGGCCCTAGTGGCGAAATTAAGAATAAATCATGAATAATACTGAAGGCATCCCATAATCGATCGTAGATGATTTTGATCTTTCGGGGATGCGATATTCATCAGAGGTTTGAATCGGTTCGGATCTGGTCGATATCCTTTGTAACAGACGGTGAATCCCAGGAACTTCAACTTCATCATTCCAAACATGCACTTAGATGGTTTGATGCGCACATTTTTCTCTATGAATCGTTCGAGAAGTTTCTTCAAATTGTTATCATGTGCTTCTTTCGTNGAAATTAAGAATAAATCATGAATAATACTGAAGGCATCCCATAATCGATCGTAGATGATTTTGATCTTTCGGGGATGCGATATTCACCAGAGTTTTGAATCGGTTGGGATCCCGTCGATGTTCTTTGGAACAGACGGTGAATCCCAGGAACTCCAACTCTATCATTCCAAACATGCACTTAGATGGTTTGATGAGCATATTTTCTCCATGAATCGTTCGAGAAGTTTCTTCAAATTGTTATCATGTTCTTCTTTCGTTGTTGCAAACACAATCACATTGTCTTGATACGCCATAACACCGCCAACCCAGACAAAACATTGTCTATTGTGGACTGAATGATTCCGGATGATACATGCAAATCGAACGGGAGGAAATTGTACTGGAACAACCCCACGGTGTACTGATCGTCGTAAATGCCCATGAATCTGGATACAATGAAATTTGAAGATAGGCATCTGCCAGATCGATTTTGGAGAAAACTGGTAACCGTGTAGGGATTTCATGAAGTTCTCTGTCTCCATGGTGATCGCACATTTTCGCAATCGGGGATTAGTTGTCAATCAGTAATCATCACATATCCTTGGAGTTCTGCCATCACTTCATCGCGACAAACCTAGGAGTTGCCCATGTTGACAACGTCACTTGGGAAATAAAACCAGTCTTCTCCATTAGGTCGATCGCATTCAATGCTTCGCGTTGTTCATATGGTAAGACACGCCTTTTTAGGAATACCCGTTCACCGTCGACCTCTAAAACTGCCTCAGGAACGCTCATTCCTTCCACATTCTCAGTACATCGGATTGCCAGCTTTTGAATTTCCTCAGGTGTATCGGATTTCAGTTTGTTAGTATATAGGGATAAGGAATGTCCCAGCGTTCTCATCGCCATCAATTCCAGAATAGACGGACTGTCTTGTGACACCAAGAATCGAATGGACACACAACTGTTATCCTGGGAATGAATCGACAAGATTGTCTCACCCATTAGTGGAAGAAGGTGTCCAGTTACACCATGGATTCGTGTTGTGGTCGGTTTTACGGTATCATTTGGGCATACGTGTTTGAGAGCTCCGCGTGAAATGATGGACTCACCACTGCCGGTATCTACAATACGGCTGTGTCGAACTCCGGATTCGAAAGTAATATCCTTGTGAATGAACTGCTTGTATTCGCCCATTGTCCGTAATGTATAAATTGGGTCGACTTATTGAAAGCACGGTGTACTCATCATATTGCATTTCCTTTGGCGGCATACCTTCTGAATATGGCCAACTTTACCACTGGAATGACACTTTGCATCTCGGACTCGACAGTTAGACCGCAAATGGAATTGACCGCACGACATACACCAATTGATATTCGTGGTTTGGATCCTTTGGTCAGAGCACTTCGTTGTCTGATTATGAGGAGATTTGGACTGCATCCCGGGTTTATTGCTTCGTGAACTACTCTGGAATAACGTAGACGACTCACGGGTTGTTGCTGCAGTGAGGTCATCATGCTGCTCAAATATCCTCCGAGCATCGGAAAATGTTAGATCCTTCTTTTCCAGCAACTTTCTCTGGAGATTCATATTGTTACTGCCTGAAATAAGGCGATCACACAATTACTCCTCCAGTCTGTCTCCATAGCTACATTTGAAGTCCTGTTTGTTGAGCAAAAGAATGAAATATCGACACGACATTCACTCGGCACGAACCAACGAATTGAATTTTGCCCTCTAAGTAGGTTGGAAATCAACAGGAGTCACGTGAGCAAAAAGCAGTTGTTTCAGTATCGGGAATGGTAATTTGGCCGGATTGTCGGGGAAAACGAGATTCTTCAGCAAAGAATACATTTCCTTTCCACCCACCGTGCGAAATAGTATAGATTGATCCTATTTTCCGTTCTGCCGTAGGCTGCACCAGAGCTGGAAAAGTTCGACGCATTCTTCAATCTCAGACGGATGTGAATGTAAATTCAAGGATTCGATAGTACGCAACTCCATGCCGCGATACCAATTGTAGTATTTGGAATAGGAATCGAAATTGAATAGCGCAAACTCGGTATCGGACTGAAAACCCGCTGAATAGCGCAAACTCGGTATCGGACTGAAAACCCGCTGAATAGCGCAAACTCGGTATCGGACTGAAAACCCGCTGAATAGCGCAAAGCCAGATAGAAACAAGGCGAGCTGTAGATACAGTTAATTCTATTAAGAAAATCATGGAAATATATATTACAAGCAACAAACAATCATTGGTCATTCTTGAATGTCCAATGATATGGTTTATCTGTTTGCCTTCTTGTACTCAGCCAATCCGGATGATGCCAATTGAGACCACGGGGTTGGTCGGTTATCCCGCTTGTTGATTGGTCACCTGGAAGCTGTACCGCAGTGCGTGTATACTCGTTACATGATCACTACAACTCTCCTCAACCTGGCGACCTGCGTCTATATTTTTTGTAACCTCGTCTAGAAATGCCAGCAGGTTGGTTAGACATGATCGTTTCTCGACGAATCCATGTTGGGCTTGAATCAGAAGCCTATGCGCCATCACATAAGAGCATATCTGTTTCCTAACTATTCGCTGGAGATACTTACGGAAGACCGAGGTCAAACTTATCAGCCCATAGTTGAAGACGTGGTGTCTAGGGCCTCACTTATGTAAGGCCACTACGGTTGCAGTTTTCCAGTCCTCTGGGACCCTACAAGTACCGATGGACTCTTTAAATACTTAGTGACCGGTCTCGCTAATGCATTTGCTATAGGCTGAATCATGGCGGGATGCAATCCATCTGGTTCTGCTGCTCTATGCCTATTTTAGGCGTTGAGCTCTCAGATCACGTCGTTTTTGCAAAGGATGAACCCTGTGAAATGCCCCGTTGTTCTAACCAGGCTGCAGCCTACAGTCTGTTCTGCCGTTGGTGGCTGATAAGTTCCCTTGAAAAACGCGAGGAGTGCATTTTCCTTTTCCTGATCGATGGTGGGTGGCCATTACGCCTTCCGTTAACTCAGGTTAACCTACTACCTCCTTAGTGTTTTCGTTTGCTTGCAAACATGCATAAAACCATTTTGGGTTATGCCTTACGTTTTGAGCCAACTTTTTCTCATGTTCATAATTCGCCTCACTTTGATGGGATTGTGCTGCATTGTGTACCCTCTTGTAGATCAACCACGCCCTGAAACGCGCCCAGCATCGACTCCGGACTACAAGTGCCCGATCTAGCGTTCATTTGTGTGGTGTTTTGAAAGTAGCACTGTCTATTTGAGGATTAACTCACACGTTGGTCATTAAATTTGCCATCCGACTGTGAGTTCTCTGGAAGTAGTAAAGAAAACGTGAAGACCGAAAAAATCCAATCCAAATTTCTAGGAAGTAGAGGCTTCAGTCATATGGTTGTCCTGATTCTGGCTTGAACTCGTCGGTGCATTTCATGCTGAACTTTTTGAAAACCGTTTCAAACTCATTATGATTTATGGTGGAATACCTTTATATGTGTGTTGCTCCTATATTGACATTTATCGATCACAAACTCCATACATCATTATTTATCTGTTAATTCGATGCCCGGCACATTTGAA